TACTAGGAACAAGGACATCGCTACTAGGGGCTCCTGGCCTCGCTACTAGGAACAAGGACATCGCTACTAGGGGCTCCTGGCGTCGCTACTAGGAGCAAGGACGCTACTAGGGGCTCCTGGCATCGCTACTAGGAGCAAGAACGCTACTAGTAGTTTCTTGTTACTGGTAGCGATGGCCCCCAACCTAGTGGCGATGGCCTCCAACCTAGTAGCGTCCTTGTTACTAGTAGTAATGCCCTGTTTGATCCAAAACGCACAAATATTGGCCAAGTCTTTTGGTGTGTTCTTTTCGGCTGAGACTTCCATGGGTAGCTTTCACTTTGCCGACGCCGACATGGCCACAGATTTGCCTCCCTGTAGACCTCCGGTCCAAGCCAGTCTACAGTTAAAACCTAAGCCCTAGCTTTACCTGGTTTTGTAGTGTAAAAATCCTTAGTAAAGCAATGGTTCCTTGGTAAAGACCATTCCCTTGGTTGTTGGAATCCGCCCCACCACAAAGCGGATCGAACGGACCACCGCTGCGAACGGTTGCAGAAATCACGTCCAACTCAAAGGGTCCAAGCAGCCCAAGAGCCCAGCTCCCAGAAGCCACACACCAATCCTCGAAACGTACGAAGGACGGGCATACGACTAGGGCCTCCTGGCCTTTCTACTAGGAGCAGGGACGCTACTAGGGGCTCCTGGCACCGCTACCTAGAGCCCTACAGTAGCTTCTTGTTACTAGTAGTAAGGCCAGGAGCCCCTAGTAGCGACGCCCTTGCTCCTAGTAGCGATGCCCTTTGCTACTAGTAGCGAACCTTGTTACTAGTAGTGTTCATGAAAGGCCAAACAAGACCCCAGACATGACAGCCAGTTGCACATCCTGAAGATGCTCAAGCTGCGAATGCGTCCCATCCGTCAAACGCCCCGTGGCCATCTGTGGGCCCGGCGTAGTTCCCGCCCATCTGGATCGGCCAATTCTCGATCCAACTCCAACGAATGTCGACTTAAACAATTCTCAAAGTCTTTCTACACTCTATGGCGGCACCATGAATCTGTCTGCCTGGTCGAATTCGGATCAAAGGTTGAAGAGTTTCTTTCTAAGCACAGGGTGGAGCGCTAGTAGGTTGAAGGCCATCGCTAGTAGGTTCTTTTTTGAAGAGTTTGTTTCCACACTTCGTCTCACTCCTCCGCCCTCAACCGAGCCACGTGAGGACCGACTGAAGACAAGGTCCCAGTCCTTGCCGAGAGATGAGCTGAAAGGCTGAACAGTGTCCTTATTGGGGCTTGGCCCGCTGCCCTCCTAATACTTAAGTAAGGAAAACATTTGCTACTGAGACGCTACTAGTAACTGGACGCAGGATTTCCGTCCTAGATGTTTAGGGATTCCGTCCTTGCCTTCAGTATAGTTATGGTTAGCTACTTAGCTGTTTATATAGATTAATTGAAGTATGCTTAACTAGCTTCTGGGCGGGGGGGTTCAAGAAACCCCCGCGCTATTCCTTTACTTCTTATATTTTTGGACATGTCTTTTTTAGAAGATGGTGCGAAGATGGAAGGCTGGGATAGTTGATCCTTGGGGGCTGAGCGGCCGAGCATCGCGAAACCCCGGTGTTTGAGGCTCACCGTAACGTACCAAGCTTGGTGATGACACAAAACCAACACGCCGATCGCACCAAAAGAAACCAATGTCGACAGATTTGCAGTTTGTGCACAAAGAGTTGCAGGTCCAAGCTTGCCATAGGATGAATTTAGAAGTACACGGTTTTACTTTGTTGATTCCTCCTTCGTCAGGTGGAGGCCGTCGCTGGTAGGTTGGAGGCCATCGCTCTTAGGGTGGAGGCAACGAGGTTGGAGGCCATCGCTATTAGGTTGGAGGCGATCGCTGTTAGGTTGCAGGCCATCGCTATTGGGTTGGAGGTTATCGCTATTAGGTTGGAGGCCATCGCTATTAGGCTATAACGACCATCGCTATTTGGTTGGAGGCCATCCCTGTTAGGTTGGAGGCCATCGCTAGTAGTTTGGAGGCCATCGCTAGGGTTGGAGGCCATCGCTATTGGGTTGGAGGCCGTCGCTATTGGGTTGGAGGCCATC